AGATATCCCTCTACACGGCCACCTCAGACCATGGAGTCTGTGTCTCCTGATCTCCTTGGGAAGACAGACACACTCAGCACCACAGGAGACACTGGGCGGTCCCTGTGTAGTCTCTGTCTTCCTCGATTCTGAGATTTCTTCTGTTTCCTAACCTTTCCCTTCCCTGCCGAGCTAGCGGGAGATGGTTACAATGGGCTATCTCTCCCCTACAGCATGTAATCAGTCTATGATCTGCCTTGGAACCTGAGCATCTGCTCAGATCGCCCTGGTGCAAATGTCTGCTCTGTGCCTACCGCTTGACGTCCTTCCTGACGGCCGCAGCCTGTACAGCCTGAATTTGTAGCCATGATCTGAATTTGACCCTGCAAGAGTCCCATCCACATTTCACCCTTACCCAACTAGCAGACATTTGGAGGATATTTGGGATAGAGCTGAATGGCGGATGGGTGAGAGTTTGGGATGCTGACGTGGGGGACATTGTATGTAGGGAAGATAAGAGCTTTTGGGGCCATATGGGCAAGATATTATGGGATAGATTCTCTCCTCAGCAGATTCACCAATTGACATTTAGGTCCCTAGAACCTCAGACTGTGCCTATGTTTGCAGACAGCATCTTTCTGTCTCTCTCGACAGGGAGTCTCTGTAATAGCCCTGCTTTTTAGATCAGGGTGGCCTTGAACTCACAGAGATCTTCCTGCCTCTGTCTCCTGAGTACTGGAATTAAAGGCATCATCACTGCCCGACACAGACAGGATCTTACACAGGTGAGTTATAATGAAGACTAGGGTATACCTTCTCCAGCCTGACCGTGCACTTAGGAGGACAGATCAGGATGGATGATCTCTCACAGAGGGATGGTCTGTGAGAACACATGGAGGGGAAGGCCCCGCTGAGAACCCACCCTGTCAACACCCCATCTGGGACTTCTCCTAGGGCTTGAGACAGTAAACATCAGCTATGGAGGCAACGGCATCCCTGTCCTTTGTCATAGCAGCCTGAGGTCACCGGGAGGCATGTGCTTCTCAGCTGGTGTGGGAGGCTTTGCCTGGCCAGCCTGGAGGCCACCCTGGGCCTCAGGGTAGCCTCTAGCTGGGAAGAAACTGCCTGCAGAGAGGAAATCTGAGGGCCTATGTGGTATGAGGTGCCAGAGCTAGAGCCCAGCAGTGAAGGTCCCACTAGGGGAGGCCTGGGAGGGCACAGGACCAGGAGGGAGGTAGAGGGGCCTGCGTGACTCACTGGTCTGCCTAATTGTGCCTTGGTCCTGAATGTCAGGGCCGGTCCACACAGGAAGAAGAACACAGTAGTTGTAGAATATCTGAAGGATGTTTTATTGTCAACAACTGAAATCAACAAGCAAGAGAGAGAGAGAGAGAGAGAGAGAGAGAGAGAGAGAGAGAGAGAGAGAGAGAGAGAGAGAGAGAGATCTTAAAGGTATCAGTGATCTCTCCAGGAAATTAGAAGAAGTCAAAAACCCAAGTCTTCCTAGAACTTCCTGCCAGTCACCAAAGGGCAGGTAACCCACTTTCCCCTCCTGTCTCTATGCTGGCTGGGAAATGATGGAGAAACAGGCGTTGGACCTCTGTAGGAGACCTACTCCACACATCAGTAGACAGTGCTTCAGGACATGGCAATTCCTTGGGCTTCTCCTCCAGCTGTTATTAGTTGCTGTGTCTAAGCAGATGTCGGGCCTGGAGGATGAGCCTGCTGTACCAGTGTCCCGCCCCTACTGCTCTTTGTCTTCTGTCTTCTGGCCTGATTGGAACCTGCTCATCAGGTCCCTTTCCAGGAGGTCCTCGCTGGCCACTCAGGCCCTGATGTCCTTTGCACCTGCACCTGCCAGGGCCGCACAGAGGCCACGAAGTCCAGGCTCACCTCTGCTATGTCCCCAGAGTATAGTTGAGACATCCAGGGAGGTGGTAGCGTCCAGGTCTCAAGGCTGTGGGGTCAGGGTTGCCCGTGGATTGGCTCCTTTATCTGAGAATCCAGTGTGTTGAACCAGAGCCTAGAAGAGGGATCTACACAAGGAGCCTAATCTTTGGAAGGTTCTGTCCCAAGGCCCTGAGAAACACAGGCCTTTTCTTTATCCTGGGCTTGTGGAAAGGTCAGGACAGAGCCTGGCTGGACATGGATGATGTGAAGGTCACTGGAATAATCCCAGTAGGATTCAGTTGAGCCATGGCCTTGTTGGTCTTCCTGGCCTGGTTGAAAGATGTCTCCTCTTGGGGATCTGGAAAGTGCCTCTTCTGTCAGGGATCCCTGTGTTTCAGAGGATGACGAGGATGGGGCTGGATCCAAGGCTGGTCCCTTTCTAGTTGGACGCAGACAGTGTGGGCACTTGTCTCTTCTTCAGTGAGAGCTCTTCCGTCCCAACCATCTGGATATACTGTGGAGGAAACTATGGCCCTTCTGGCCCTATGCAGTATCTTGGATACTTCTGTGATGATGTTTTAGGTCCTGGTGGCTGTCGCCTGGGGCAGAATCTACTCTTCACATGGCCCTCCAATGAGGGACAAATGGAGGGCAGCTGGGTCTCAGGGTCAGAGGGTAGTGAAGCGTGTGTGGACAGTGTGATCTGAGTCAGGCTGCTCGGCACATTGGACAGGATCCTTCTGGGCCTGGGGAACCCTCTGCCCATCGAAGGGGGTGTCCTAAGGCCCTTGTCCAATCATGTTCTTATAGTCAGGAGCCAGCGTCTGCTTCAGCTCCACCACCGAGGAGAAGATCCACTTTACCTGTGGGGCAGGGTGCATGAAGACAAGGGTCAGGCCTGCACTCTGTCCCGTGGGGTAAATCAAGGGCTGTCTCACCGGAAGTCCCCTCTAGACATGTAGGTAAGCTAGGCAAGTACCCACGCCCAGAGCCCCCCTCTCCAGTCATGCTGAAGTCTGGAGGATGGCTTGGGGACCAGAGAGGATAGAGTGGGAGTAGCAAGGGATGGATCGGTGGACAGCGCGGGACCAGGCTGAGGGTACGGCATGGAACGGTGTGAGGACGATGGAGGCAGTGAATAGGGACGCTGGGGTGATAGAGTGGGGTGTAGCCCAGGACAGAATGAGCACGGGGTGAGGGCAGCCTGGAACAGCAAGGTACATGCTAGACATTACAGGCAAGCGTAAGGACAGCGTGAGACACAGGACGGCAGGCAGCATGGGGCACCACGAGGAACAGCACAGGGCAGTCTGGGAACAACGCAAGAATTAAGGGGGGCGGTGTGGGAGTGGTGTAGGGATGGGGCTGGGGACAGCAAGGGAACACTGTGGGGCAGTAGGGTTCAGTGTGCGCGCGCGTGTGTGTGTGTGTGTGTGTGTGTGCGTGTGTGCGTGTGTGTGGACAATTTGGGGGACAACAGGGCAGTATGGTGACAGATTGCAAGCTGTGTGAGGACAGTGTGGACAGTGTGACCGACCTTGAAGAGTGTGACGGTGGCGCTGTAGCACACGCTGAGCAGGAAGAGGGTGATGAAGATGGTGATGGTCGTCCAGAGCCCGTCCAGCTCTTCATCCTGGGCCTCAGGACAGCTGTCGTCCAGTTCCAGCTCTGGACAGAGAAGGACAGTCAGTGTGTGTCCCAACAAGTTGGGGCTGGGCAATCCCCTGTGTGGAGGAGAAAGAGCCAGCTGGGCTGGGGCCAGCGGGTCCTCCCTGTGGCCAGTGGGTCCTCCCTGGGGCCAGCGGGTCCTCCCTGTGGCCAGTGGGTCCTCCCTGGGGCGAGCAGGTCCTCCCTGGGGCCAGCAGGTCCTCCCTGGGGCGAGTAGGTCCTCCCTGGGGCCAGCGGGTCCTCCCTGGGGCCAGCAGATCCTCCCTGGGGCGAGCAGGTCCTCCCTGGGGCGAGCGGGTCCTCCCTGGGGCCAGCTTTCTTTCTGCTCTCTTTGGACCAGAAACCTCAGTTCCCAAAAGAGTTCCAGTTTTGTTCCTGGGTTCATCCAGACACACTGGACCTGATGGTGGCCTGGACTGTGTAGGAGACCATTCTGTTTGCTCCACTCCTCAGTTCTGAGGCTGGCTAGGCTGAGTCAGGGCCTGTGACTGTTGTGGACAGTGCTTGTGTAGCCTCCCTGATCTTCTGTCTGTCCCCTGGTGACCAAGCTCAGAGGAGCAGAGTGATGGCGCAGCCTGTTCCTGGTGTTGTTGCCTGTACCTCAGACAAGGTCCACAGTGGGAAGTGGGCCAAGTTGTACAGCTTCGGAGGAGTCTCAGTTGTGTGAGGTGGGAGAACTGGTAAGAGGTTCCAGGGACAGATTGGGCCTGAGGGGACTTATGTGCGTAGGAGGAGGGTGTGGGCATCCTTGGCAGAGAAAAGCTGTATCTGTCTCGGCTAGCACACTTGTGGAAGTTGAGGAGGGGCATGTGGAAAGACCCGATACCTCTTTTGACTTGGAATACTGTGCAAGGTGCCCATGTGAGGTCACAGTTGTGTGTGTGTGTGTGTGTGTGTGTGTGTGTGTGTATACATGTGTGTATGTGCACATATGGGTCTTGTGGGCTGGGTGTTGCTCATCATGTTGGTTCTATTAGGTCTGGACTTGGCACCCACATGGCCATCTGATAGTCCCTGTCATGGGCAGTGAAAGCTACCTTCATCCTCACCATGTAGTGTAGACCTAGCCCCTGGAAAGCTTCCTGGATTGAGCGGAGGGACAGCAAGTGTCTGTCTGCATGCCTTTGGCCACATAGACATTTTTAGTGCACTCAGAGGTGTCCTTGGACAGGGAAGGGGGCAAGGACAGACTGAGGGAGATGGTGTTTGTGCATTCCTCTCTTTGGGGGTGTCTTAAGCACATCTCTGGGCCCAGAACAGATGAACTACTAGTTAGAGGGAGAGCAAGTGAGAGTCACTGCCTAGGGGTAAGCCTTCTCAGTGAGGCCAGGCAAATTCCAGAGCACTGGGTCTGGCAGTACAGACCCATGTTTTTCTCCCTAGCATTAATTCAGGCCTCAGACCCTGGAGATCCCACAGCCCATGACCTAGGAAGACTCTGCATCTCAGAAAGAACCAGGACATTTTTTTGCAGGATCCCAGGGCAGTGCTGGGTGCTTTATTTACACAGGGAAGGTATGGAGGTAGGTGTCAGTGTCCCTTAGGACCAGAGGGTTCACAGGACACTGGGCTCATTTACCAGGACGGTGGGACAGAGTCTTCTCTGTGTGGTGGTTGTGCAGGGCCTCGTGTACCACATAGCAGGTGAAAGAATTTCCACTCTCCCAATCTTTCCTCTTCACATTGAGCTTGCTGTAGAGGAAGTAAGTCTCGTCCGCGTCCAAGACGGGTGGGGTGTTCCTGAAGTTCTTCTCTGGCTCTCCGTTCCTCTGCCATTCCATATCAATATCCTCAGGGAAGAAGCCCACTGCCATGCAGGTGAGGCTGACCTCATCCTTGGTCAACTGCTCCTTGGGTGGGGGCATGGCGTACACCTGTGGGACCTGAAGTTGCCCTGTGGGTACAGAGAGCAGTCAGCACAGAGGGCACTGACAGGGCGGAAATCTGTTTATGCCAAGCTCTGCCTACACCCTGTGGCAGCTACTTCATCGCCCACTCGGCAACGCTCACCTCTGGATTTGGAGATGGTTTTCTCGATGGGTGCAGGGAAGGCTGGGCTGTTGACCTTGCATTTGAACTCCTTGCCGCTTAGCCAGTCCTGGTGCAGGATGGGGAGGACGCTGACCATACGGTAGGTGCTGTTGAACTGCTCCTCCCGGGGCTGCGTCTGAGCCGTGTGCACTTCCTTGCCGTCTACAAACCAGCTGAACCGGACCTCGGGATCATCCTGGCTAATGTCCACCACAACACACGTGACCTTGGGACTCCGAGAGATTGTGAGCACATCTTTGGGCTTCGGTGGGAAGATGAAGACTGACGATACTTCTGGGCCTGTAGATGAAGAAGAAAGATGGAAATGGGCTACTCTCCGACAAGGACTGCTTAGGACACTTGTTGCATACTGGGGCTGGAGATGGCTTACCTGGACATACGCAAGGCTTGCAATGATCTCCAGTTCCAGGCACTGCAGAGAGAAGACTGTATGTTACTGGGGTCTGGAGATGAGAAGGCACCAAGACAGGGAAAGGGAGAGTTTGGCTCATGAGTGGGCTCAGGCCAGGCTGCTCTTGAGTATAACCTTTGGCAGGTTAATAGCTGAGTCTGCCTCTGTGTGTCCAAATGAGGGGTGTGGACATACAATCTAGAGTACTGTTCCATGAGTGTAATGAGAATGGACAGAAGTCTCCAGAAGGGATACAGACAGGATCTCCCACTGTCCTGGGCTGAGGTCCCCTCCCTGGCGATGGCAGCCCAGCCTAGTTGGTCTAGGTAGGCAAACGCCTCAAGCCCCACCTCTAGTGAACGCCTCCTCCCCTGGCTGTCCTCTCACCGATTTTCTTGTCCACCTTGGTGCTGCTGGCCGGGTGGGCTACGTTGCAGGTGACGGTCTGGCTGGGCCAGGTGCTGGAAGGCACAGTCACTGAGCTGCTGAGGGAGTAGAGCCCAGAATGCAGGACCGACGGGAAGGTGTGTACGCCGCTGGTTAGGGCTCCAGAGTTCCAGCTCACGGTCACTGGCTCAGGGAAATAGCCCTTGACCAGACATCCCAGGGTCACCGTGGTGGAGTCAGGGGTGCCTCTGAGTACAGGAGCCAGTGGATAGACAGATGGGGCTGTTGTTGTGGCTGCAAGAAAAGGGGTATGTGTGACCACGCTGTCAGACCTGGATGAACCAAGCCTCTAGAAGGTCTCCTCCGTCTTCAGCTCTCCCAAAGCCTTGACTCTCTACACGGTGTAACCAATAACCAGTGGTTGGGTTGGTGAAAGTCAGGGTCACAAGGTTAGGTCAGGCTTGAGGTACTTTGAGCACATTGCTAGTACACTGTCAGAAAACTGCCACACCACCAGCTGTCCAGTGTGGGTATCCGTGTCCCGGTCTTCGGTCTCTTATGCCTAGGCCACGTGGCTGCATGCAATCCGGGTACCCTGAATGACAGGCTAAAGCCAGCACAGTTTCACAGCCTGCACTCCCTTCATGGCTTTTGCCAATTCCTGGGCTGTCTGTTCCTGCCTTGGCGGGTTGGCGGTTGACTGACAGCCCACGTTGTTCTTAGGTTCCCTGAACTCTCCGGCCATAGCCTTGCTGTGCAGGCGGTGTCTTTAGCTGGCTTTGAGGAAAGTAGAGTCAGCACTCTCTATTCCTGGGTCTGGACCCACACTGTGTGCGGCATGCATAGCCTTCTAGGATTCCCCTCCTCCGCCCACTCCCTCTCAACTCATCCTAGGCCCCTAAATATGTGCTCTTGGCCACTACTTTGTAACACAGCCCCTTCTCCGGTCTTTCTCCCGGCTCACAGTTCGCCGCTAACACCCCCACCTCACTGGTGCTCACAGCGGGCAGCTCTGGCCTGTCCTGCCTTTGCTGATCGGCACCTTGCTACCCCATCGCACCGTCACCGCACCGACGAGACCCTGGCGAGCTCAGCTGGGCTTTCTCTCTCTCCTGGTCTTCTTCACACTTTCCCGGGCTCTCCTTCTGCATGGCATGTGTGTTGCCAGGTCCTAGAGAAGTCCCTTTCCTTTTTTCAGTATCCCTGTCCCCTCTATCCTTGGTTCCTCCCTGTACCTCCAGGGCCTTGCTGGCCTCCCCGGCCCCTTGGCTCTGACATCCTCTGCTCGGGCTGGCCCTAGTCCTCACCCTCCCTTCCTTCTGCAGGTTGACCCTGGGTATTCTGTGTTGTTGGGACAGGGTTAGCTTTCCTGCCCTATGCTTTCTCAACTTCCCGGGGAATCATAGCTAGGGCCCCTGACTTGAAAGCTGCAGCCTGTGGGTTTCCTTGGGTAATATCAGCCTTAGGATTCGTCCCTGACTGTGTTCCTGTTAAACCAGAGGCCTTTTCTGACCCCCCACGCCCGTGACTGACTTCCCCTTACCCCCGGCTCTTCTTGCTGCCTGTGTCAGTGCAGCTCTTTCCGAGAGAGGTCTCCTTTAGCTCTTTCCCTGTCCTGCGGCTCTCAGGCTGCTCCTGTTAGACCTGAGACCTTTCCTATGCCCCTCTTACCCGCTATGCTCTGGAGGCTGCCCGTCCAGCCCTCTCCCAGCCCCAGTGTCTCCTGACACCGCTCTCGCCTCCTGAGGCTCCAGGGTCACCTCTGCCCTCCCAAGGGCACTCCTGTGCAGAGTTTCAATTCTGCCCTCCTGCATCCTTTATGATCTCCTGGACTCTGTGGGTCTTGCCTGCTTCTGCTGATCCCAGCGCCAGAATTCCCTTGTTTGGTTAGGGCCCCCTTTGTTCTGTTGGGTCCGCCTCCCTAATTTCACCAGCCAGCACATCTTCTGGCCTGTCCATACCTCACAGCAGCAGCTGGGTCAGCTCCAGCCTCCACCTCCCGGCTTTTCACCCTTCCTATTCCCTTCTCGTCTCACTCTCAGTGAAGTAAGGATAGCTTACAACCCCCCCCATCTGTCTTTGGCATGCAGTCTTGTCTGCCACTCAAAACAATTTTTAAAAATTCATTTTACATGCCAACCACAGTTCCTCCTCCTTCCTCTTCCCCCCATCTCCCCTCAACCCACCCCCACCCACTCCTCAGAAAGGGTAAGTAAGGCCTTCTACAGGGGCACAGTTGAGGCAGGACCAAGCCTCTCCCCTCTGCAACGAGGCCCAGCAAGGCATCCCATCATACGGAATGGGCTCCAAAAAAGCCAGTTCATGCACCAGGGATAGATCCTGGTCCGACTGCCAGGGGTCCCACAAACAGTCCATTGCCTACCATTTCAACTCACCCTCCTTCCTCAAACACCTGCCCCTAATACCCAGAAGAGTGAGTGCTAAGGTCAGCTAATGCTGCTCCTGGCAGTGTACAGCCCCTGTGGGCTGGTCTGGAATGCTCCTCAGCCTGTTCTCCCACATTCCCACCTACCTGGCCCCACCCGCCCCAGCACCCCAGAACCTGCTCATCCCAAGCCCTACACTCCCACCTGCCCCAGCACCCCAGAACCTGCTCAGTCCATGCCTTACACCCCCAGCACCCCAGAACCTGCTCATCCCAAGCCCCACACTCCCACCTGCCCCAGCACCCCAGAACCTGCTCATCCCAAGCCCCACACTCCCACCTGCCCCAGCACCCCAGAACTTGCTCAGCCCATGCCCCATACCCCCAGCACCCCAGAACCTGCTCACCCCAAGCCCCACACCCCCACATGTCCCAGCACCCCAGAACCTGCTCAGAACATGCCCCAAACCCTCACCTGCCCCAGCACCCCAGAACCTGCTCATCCCAAGCCCCACACCCCCACCTGCCCCAGCACCCCAGAACCTGCTCAGCCCATGCCCCACACCCCCACCTGCCCCAGCACCCCAGAACCTGCTCATCCCAAGCCCCACACCCCCACCTGCCCCAGCACCCCAGAACCTGCTCAGTCCATGCCTTACACCCCCAGCACCCCAGAACCTGCTCAGTCCATGTCCCACACCCCACCTGCCCCAGCACCCCAGAACCTGCTCATCCCAAGCCCCACACTCCCACCTGCCCCAGCACCCCAGAACATGCTCAGTCCATGCCCCATACCCCCAGCACCCCAGAACCTGCTCACCCCAAGCCCCACACCCCCACCTGCCCCAGCACCCCAGAACCTGCTCAGAACATGCCCCAAACCCTCACCTGCCCCAGCACCCCAGAACCTGCTCATCCCAAGCCCCACACCCCCACCTTCCCCAGCACCCCAGAACCTGCTCAGCCCATGCCCCACACCCCCACCTGCCCCAGCACCCCAGAACCTGCTCATCCCAAGCCCCACACCCCCACCTGCCCCAGCACCCCAGAACCTGCTCAGTCCATGCCTTACACCCCCAGCACCCCAGAACATGCTCAGTCCATGTCCCACACCCCACCTGCCCAGCACCCCAGAACCTGCTCAGCCCGTGCCCCACACCCCCACCTGCCTTAGCTCTGCTGTGGGAACTCACTCTGGTGCCCTATGTGCTATACTGCCAAGCTTCGCTGGTCTTCTGAAACTATTACCTACCCTGGCTCTCCTGCAGCTGACCAGTCGGTTTCCCATACTCCTACCTGCCTCAGTTTCCCTGTAGTTAAACATCCTGGAACCCTACACTCCTACCTATCTCAGATCCCCTGTAGCTCCTCAGCCTGACTCCCGACATGTCCACCTACCCCAGATCCTCTGTAGTTGCTCAGCCTGCGATCCTACACTGCTGTTAACCCCAGCTCCCCTGCAGCGGCTCAGCTTGGAACACTGCAGGACCACTGAGCTCAGCTTTCCTGTAGCTGCTATGCCTGGCTCCCTGAACCCACAATGCCTCAGCACCTCCTCAGCTGCTTAGTTTGTTACCTTATACACCGATCAGCGTAAGGTCCCTGGTACTCACTCAGCTACGTCCCTTCAAGTCCACCACCTGAGATTCCAAGTGATAGCTAAGTCTAGAACCCACCACTACTATACGTCCCAGATCCCCTGTCTCTACTTAGCCTTGATCCCCACTGGCTGCGGCTTAATGTAGTCAACCACACTCCACTTACCCCAGACCGCCTGTAGCTGCTCTGCAGGCTCCAAGCTCATCCTCCTGCCTCAGCTCCCTGGTACCTGTATCTCCCTGGCTCCCTGATCATCCTCCCGCCTCAGCTGCCCTGTAGCTGCTCTGCCTGGCTCTCTGCTCATCCTCCTGCCTCAGCTGCCCCGTAAGTAAGAGCTCTGCCTGGCTCCCTGATCATCCTCCTGCCTCAGTTCCCTGATACCTGCTCTGCCTGGCTCCCTGATCATCCTCCTGCCTCAGCTGCCCTGTAAGAGCTCTCCCTGGATCCCTGATCATCCTCCTGCCTCAGCTGCCCTGTAAGAGCTGTCCCTGGATCCCTGATCATCCTCCTGCCTCAGCTGCCCTGTAAGAGCTGTCCCTGGATCCCTGATCATCCTCCTGCCTCAGCTGCCCTGTAAGAGCTCTGCCTGGCTCCCTGATCATCCTCCTGCCTCAGCTGCCCTGTAAGAGCTCTGCCAGGCTCCCTGATCATCCTCCTGCCTCAGCTGCCCTGTAAGAGCTCTGCCAGGCTCCCTGATCATCCTCCTGCCTCAGCTGCCCTGTAAGAGCTCTGCCAGGCTCCCTGATCATCCTCCTGCCTCAGCTCCCCGGTAACCACTCTGCCTAGCTCCCTGATCATCCTCCTGCCTCAGCTGCCCTGTAAGAGCTCTGCCTGGCTCCCTGATCATCCTCCTGCCTCAGCTGCTCCGTAAGTGCTCTGCCTGGCTCCCTGATCATCCTCCTGCCTCAGCTGCCCTGTAAGAGCTCTGCCTGGCTCCCTGATCATCCTCCTGCCTCAGCTGCCCTGTAAGAGCTCTGCCTGGCTCCCTGATCATCCTCCTGCCTCAGTTCCCTGATACCTGCTCTGCCTGGCTCCCTGATCATCCTCCTGCCTCAGTTCCCTGATACCTGCTCTGCTTGGCTCCCTGATCATCCTCCTGCCTCAGCTGCCCTGTAAGAGCTCTCCCTGGCTCCCTGATCATCCTCCTGCCTCAGCTGCCCTGTAAGAGCTCTCCCTGGATCCCTGATCATCCTCCTGCCTCAGCTGCCCTGTAAGAGCTCTGCCAGGCTCCCTGATCATCCTCCTGCCTCAGCTGCCCTGTAAGAGCTCTGCCAGGCTCCCCGATCATCCTCCTGCCTAAGCTCCCCGGTAACTGCTCTGCCTGGCTCCCTGATCATCCTCCTGCCTCAGCTGCCCTGTAAGAGCTCTCCCTGGCTCCCTGATCATCCTCCTGCCTCAGCTGCCCTGTAAGAGCTCTGCCTGGCTCCCTGATCATCCTCCTGCCTCAGCTGCCCTGTAAGAGCTCTGCCTGGCTCCCTGATCATCCTCCTGCCTCAGCTGCCCTGTAAGAGCTCTGCCAGGCTCCCTGATCATCCTCCTGCCTCAGCTGCCCTGTAACCGCTCTGCCTGGCTCCCTGATCATTCTCCTGCCTCAGTTCCCCGGTAACCACTCTCCCTGGCTCCCTGATCATCCTCCTGCCTCATCTGCCCTGTAAGAGCTCTGCCAGGCTCCCTGATCATCCTCCTGCCTCATCTGCCCTGTAAGAGCTCTGCCTGGCTCCCTGATCATCCTCCTGCCTCAGCTGCCCTGTAACCGCTCTGCCTGGCTCCCTGATCATTCTCCTGCCTCATCTGCCCTGTAAGAGCTCTGCCAGGCTCCCTGATCATCCTCCTGCCTCAGCTGCCCTGTAAGAGCTCTCCCTGGATCCCTGATCATCCTCCTGCCTCAGCTGCCCTGTAAGAGCTCTCCCTGGCTCCCTGATCATCCTCCTGCCTCAGCTGCCCTGTAAGAGCTCTGCCTGGATCCCTGATCATCCTCCTGCCTCAACTGCCCTGTAAGAGCTCTGCCAGGCTCCCTGATCATCCTCCTGCCTCAGCTCCCCGGTAACCACTCTGCCTGGCTCCCTGATCATCCTCCTGCCTCATCTGCCCTGTAAGAGCTCTGCCTGGCTCCCTGATCATCCTCCTGCCTCAGCTGCCCTGTAAGAGCTCTCCCTGGCTCCCTGATCATCCTCCTGCCTCAGTTCCCTGATACCTGCTCTGCCTGGCTCCCTGATCATCCTCCTGCCTCAGCTCCCCTGTAACCGCTCTGCCTAGCTCCCTGATCACCCTCCTGCCTCATCTGCCCTGTAAGAGCTCTGCCTGGCTCCCTGATCATCCTCCTGCCTCAGTTCCCTGATACCTGCTCTGCCTGGCTCCCTGATCATACTCCTGCCTCAGCTGCCCCATACCTGCACTCCCTAGCTTCTTGCTACCCATAGTCTGGGCTACTCCACTGGTCTTCAGAGGATGACATGGTACTTTTTGCCTCTCTTTGACCCCTGTGCTCTTCTTAGCTCAGATGGATGTCTGAGCTGTTGTGGGCATCAGGTCAACTACTGGCAGGGCACTCATCTCTTTAAGCCTGGTTTCTTTTCTCCTGAGCTCCTGGGACTGTCTTGGACCTCCATTAACTCCATTTCCCCAGCTTCCTGGTAGTTACCTGCCTGATCTGGTTGTCGTAATTTGACCAGTACCTCAGCCCTGTAGCCGCTCAGCCTAGTTCTATAAACTCTTGGGACTACCCTAGGTACCCAGCATTCCCACCTACCCCCAGGACATCTTCATCTGTTTTGCCTTGGTCCTGAATTCTTACGGCTACCCAGTTAGTTCCAGGATGCCCAGCCTCGCTCAGCTCCCCTGTGATGCTCAGCCTGGTTCACCATTCTTCCCTGTTCCAGTTCCTGGTCCACTGAGCCTCCTTGAATGCCCTGAACTTCGATCGGCCTCAGTTGCCGTGTGCTGGTCAGGCTGGGTCTGTAGCATCTGCTCTAATTCTTCTTTGGTCCCCAGCACTCCTGCCTGCCCTGGGTTACCTTTATCTGCCAAGCTTGGCCTCCTGTGCTGCTGGGGATGCCCGGACCCCCTAACCCTCCCATCTACCCAGCCCTGTGGAGCTGTTCAGCCCTAGATCCCTAGCATTCCCATGTTTGCTCATGCCTCGGCCCCATGACAGCTGCTAGCCTGTCCCCCCGAGTTTCTGGGGGTTTCTCTATCCCACCCGAGCCTCCATGAAGCTGCTCTGCTGGTCCCTGTGACCTTCCGGGCTTGCTCTGGCCCCTCCAGAACTCTGTCATCCGTGCTCACCCGAAGCTGTCCTGCCTGGTCCTCAGGGCTCCTTTCTCCACGCCTCTCCTTCTTTTAGTTAAGGCTTGGCTTTACTCCTGGTGTGACTCTTGAGTGCTGTGACCCATCCTCGAACTCCCGAGTACATACTTTCTCTCCCATCTTTCCCCAGCAGGCTTAACGGTATCCCCAGATGAGCTCCTGGGTGTCACATTCCCCACGCTCCTCTTTACTTACCACAGGCCTCTGCTGAGGCACTGCCCCTCCTTTGACTCTCCCTTTCCACCGGCTCAGCTGCCTTGGCTCTATCAAGGTGTAGTCCTAGGCCAAACCCATCCCTCAGGCTTTCTGACACATCCTGCCGCCGGCCGGTCCTTCCGTGGGTGTGCGGAGCTCTGGCTGCCTGTTCTTCTATCCCTGGGCTTCTCAGAGTCTGCTTGATTGACACCAGGCTGCAGGCAGGAACTCTTCAACACACAGGCTTCCTCTGTAGGAGCTGGCCTGTCAGCTCCTTCCCAGTCTCCGGTGATACAATGACGTCCCCGGTCTCTGGCCTTCTCCCTTCGACAGCCCCTTTCCATGCTGAGCCTACTCACGTGTGGGAGCCGTGAAAGCGGCTGCCTGTCTTTCTGTTTTGTCTGTCCCAGAATCACAGCCCTTGTTCCAGAGATGTCAATGCTACCCACTTCCACCCCGTGCATGACTAAGAACAGATTGCCAGTGGGTGGCCTAAGGCGTTTCCTGAAGTTCCCCTTTGTTCTGGGGGTTTCTGTGTTAGGGGCTGAGGGAGAGTCCAAACCTGACTGAGATTGCTTCTTGTGGATGTGTGGGGGTGGGTGAGGCGGTACCCTAGAGACTCAGGGGACAAGGCAGGAAGCCTGGATGTGCACCTCCTGCTCTGTGCACCTGGGCCTTCCAGGGCTCCTTGGGCTGGTTGAAGCTGACTGACTAAGCCCACTCTTTCCTGACCACTTCATTGGAGAAGTCTCATTGGAAAGTACCTGGGCCTCTCATTCAGGTCTGACCGAAGTCCAGCCTCGGTGACCATACCTCCCTGTCCCTGTCTCTTGCTAGTGTTATCTCAGGAGAACCCACATAAGCCTGAGGCACAGGGAGAGACTGAGGGCTATGATGGAGTATGACGTACAGATTGAATGGCAAAAGGAAGGACCCTGGGGCTCTGGCTGAGCTATCAAGAGGGAGAAATCTTGGTTACAGACAGAAGCCATGCTGGGACTCAGGAGGAGCCCTTGGATAAAATAAGAGAGGCGCTGGTCATCTGCCAAGGGAACCTGAAGGATGATAGTTGTCCAATCAAGGGTTCCGGTTCTGATGCCAGGGGCTCATGACGTTATGAAACAGGGGGATCACACAGGGCATCCGAAAGACTGGAAGGAGGGGTTCATCTAGGGTTCCGGCAGAGGCAGGAGGAGGCTGGGTACAGGAAGGGGGAAAGGGAGGCCAGTAGTGCCCTAGGGAGGGGAACAGGGTCACAGGGGCCAAGGGACTGGCCAACCTCCGAGAGAGTGAAGGTCTGCCCCACCCCGAAGGCCTGTTAAAATGTGTCTCTGGACTTAGTGACACTGACATCATGCAGGGAAAAGAAGGCAGAAAGTGTTGTGAAGGGGATGGAAAAAAAAAGGCGGGGGGAGGGGCAGGAGGATCTCGTCAGGAAGGCTGCTCTGTGGGGAACAACAGGTAGTGTGTTGGCCTCTGAGGATTGGACAGGTCAGGGCTTCCCATGCTGGAGAGTTGTAGCATAGGATGCTGGGTCGAACCTCAGGGAGCAGAAGAAGATCCAAGAGTTCTGAGTTCCAAGGCTGAGACTTAGAACACAGATTTAGCAGCTTAAAGTGGCTGGGGGGGCTGGTCTGAGGAGGGGAGGCTCCTGAGGGCTGTATCAGGGCAGATGTGAGTTCATGCACCAGAGAGGGTGCTGATGGTCTCAGAGCCAACTTGAGAAGACACAGCCTTCAGGACAAAGCCAAGGCTGAGTCTTTGGGATTGTTGAGATCTCAGGGGGACCTGAGAACAGCAACCACGAGTCAAGTAAGGGACTAATAGGCCAAGGGAGTCAAGGAAGCTAAAAAAAAAACAGCAAGAGTCAAGGACAGGCAGGGCTGGGGAAGGGTCTGGAGTCCCTGAGCTTCGTGTCGCTGTGGCTGGTCATGGAGCACTGATACTGACATGGGCTATCTCCGTAGCCATGGCACACAGGAGGAACAGGCATCAGAGCGGTGTGTAGACAGCCTTCCTGGACGCTGGTCCAGCTCTTTCTGAATGTGGACTGTGGATGGGCATGGGGACCCTCAGCGACCTTTTCATCTGTCTGTACTGTACTCCCTTAGCAGCTCGGTGAATGTGCCTACCAGCATCTGGCCTGTGGGGGTCTCTGCAACCCCCACAGGCAGCGGAGTGTCAGTGTGTGCGAGGCAAGAAGGAAGTTGAGTCCGACACAACTCAGAAGCCAAGGTTGGTTTAAACTTCGAGGTTCTGACACAGGGAAGTTTATTTCAGGCATATTTAAGCACAGCAGAGTTTTGGGAAAAGTATGTTTCCTGGTGATGATGAACTCAATCCCACGTGCACAGCAAAGCTTAAGACATGACTGCTCTGGACATCACCCCAGCTCTAACTTGTTGGCACAAGCACCGACCTCTCCATTTCTGTGCAGGGCTGGGACTGGACAGGGCCTGTGCGAGGCCTAGGACAGGTTTCTGGACCATCGCCGTCTTCATCACCCCCTTCCTGCTCAGCGTGCACTAAGGTGAGTGCCAGTGCCACACTCTTCTCGGCTGGCAATACCGTCACCCCGGTGTTCCCCCACTGTCCCCCACACGGTCTCTACAGAGCCTCCAGGCTTTTGCCATTGTCTCCACAATGTCCCACTCTGTCTCCACACCGTGGCCATGTTCTCCCACACTGTCCCCATGGCTTCCTCACAGTGTCCTAGGCTAACTCTTGGCTCTGCAGCAGATCTTCTACAGCGGCCTCTCCACCCTCTGTGCCCCCCGTTCCCAGGAGACGAAGCAGATCCCTGTTTCATCTACCACCCCCAGTCCATCCTCACTCCTCAGTCTCAGGTCTCAGTACCTAAAATACATTTCACCCGGAACCCCCAGTGCCCACACCTGTCAGGATCCCAAAATACGCTCCTACATGCAGCACACAGCCACAACACTCTCCAAAGAGTCAAAGGGGAAACAGACACCAAGGAACAAAACAGTCACCCAGCAAAGACAAGACCAGATATCAGCACTTAAGAGTTACAATCTCCACAATCCCAGATGCCTAGACGACAGCACAAAAACATAATCAACAACTGTCTGCACAGTATTTTTTTTTCCACTGGAGTCCAGCAACCCTACCACAGCAGGCCCTGGATATTAAAACATAACCAAAACACAAATAAAAGACCTTAAGACATTCTTTATGCATACGATAGAGGTCTCTAAAGAGGAAATGGATAAATCCCTTAAAGCAATCAATGGAAAACGCAAACAGTGGAAGGATATGAGAGGATGGAGCCTCTGTTCCACCTGGCCCCACAGCCGTTAAGTAACAAATAAACACACCGAGGCTTACATTAACTACAAACTGATTGGCCGATGGCTCAGGCTTCTTATTGGATGGCTCTCCCTTAATTATTAACCCGCTTCTACTAAACTATGTATTGCCACGAGGCTGTGGCTTTGCTGTAGCGCTCCGGCACGTTACTCCTTTGGCGGCTACTTGGCGGCTACGTGGCATCCCGCTTTTGCAGGGGCTCCTTGCCTCCCCTCTTCCCAGAATTCCCCTAGTCTAGTTGCCCTGCCTATACTTCCTGCCTGACTACAGGCCAGTCAGCATTTATTCACCAACCAATAAGAGAAACACATATTCACAGCATGCAGAAGGACCTCCCCCATCAGAAACAAATAAAACTGCCCCAGGCCTGAAAGAGTCTGCTCTCGAAAGCTTGCAGGCAGGGCAGGCGTGGGCGGAAGGTCTTGTGGCTGGGTGAGTGTTCCACCCTGTCGTGTTACCGAAGTGGCCGGCTCCTCTGTACCATCCATTACGAGGAGTCCTCACTAGGGTTTCCCTCATGGGTCCCAGGAAGTTTCCACTGCACTGGGCTTCCATGTCACCCCTCAAGTGCCCCCCTATTCTAGCTGTCTCTCCCTGTACTCTCTCCCTCTACCCCCTCTCTCATCTGACCCCTCTACTTCCTATCGCCACCCACAAACTCTGTTCTTTTTTTCCCTTCCCAGGGAGACCCAGGGCCCCAGAGCCCTGCATGTTTGTTACCTCTGGGCCTACGGATAGCAGTGTGGTTTCTTTTTTTTTTCATTTTTATTTTAATTTTAAATAGCTTGTTTTACATGTCAATCCCAGTTCCCTCTCCCTTCCCTCCTCCCGCACTCCCCTTCCACCCTCCCTCCCACCCTATTGCCAAATCCTTCCACATAGGGGATATCTAGAGTCTATCATTTTACTCTGGGTAGGGTCCAGGCACTCCTCTAAGAGTCCAGGCTGAGAGAGCATCTCTCTTTGTGCTATAGGCACACGAAGACTGTTTGTATACCAGGGATAGACACTGATCCACAGCTCAGGGCCCCATAGGTTGCCCAGGCCTTCTCACTGACACTCACATTTGGGGGGTCCAGATCAGTCCCATGCTGGCCTCCCCACTGTCGGTCTGGGGTCCAAGAGCACTCCCCTGTTCAGATCAGCTGTCTCTGCTGGTTTTGCCAGCCCATTCTTTGCCAATTTGCTCATCACTCCTCTCTGTCACTGGGTTCCTTGGGTTCAGTTCAGTGATTAGTTGTGTGTTTGCCTCTGCTTCCATCAGTCACAGGATGAAGGCTCCCGGATGGTTATAGACATCAAGTTCATTATCAGGAATGGGCATTCGAGGTGGTCCCTCCACTATTGCTTAGCTTGCCAATTGATGTTATACCTTTAGATCACTCGAGGTCACTCTGGTGCCTGATCTGTCTTCGATCCTATGATTCCCTCTTCCCCCTATTCTACCCCCACCCCCTCAACTTCCTGTTCCCCCATGACCAACTCCCTTCCTCTTTACCCCCTCTATTCTTCCCAGGTCCCACTCCCCCCCACCCCTCGCCGTGTTCCCCATCCATTCAGAGGATCTTGTCTCCATCCTCTTCTCTTGGGTACTATGCATATATGCATATCTTTTAGGTTCTTTCCTGTTTCCCAGACTCTCTATCTGTGGAAGTGCAGACTGGCACTATCCTGATCCATGTCTAAAATCCATATATAAGTGAGTACATACCATGTTTGTCTTTTTGCGACTGGGTTACCTCACTCAGGATGGTTTCTTCCAGTGCTATCCATTTCCCTGCGAATTTCAAGATTCCATTGTTTTTTTCTGCCGAGTAATACTCCATTGTGTAAATGTACCACATTTTCTCTATCCACTCTTCAGTTGAGGGGCATCTAGGTTGCTTCCAGGTTCTGGCTATT